ACCTCAGAAACCCAAGGAGGGATCGCTATGAGTTGGATCATGTATCCTATATTCTTATCAGAAAGCATTTTTTAGTCTCTAGTTTGCAAAAGATTGATTTGAGTATTTATCAACAAGGCTGATTACTCCTCCACCCCCACCCCCAGGATTCTGATAAAATAATTTTGGTGTGGTCCTAGGAATTTATGTTTAAGGAGCATCTCAGTTGATTTGATACAGGTGGCCCACAATTCACATGTTGGGGCGCAGCGATATAAGTCAGCAAATTAGAAAACTGTAGCAAAAGCATACCATACAATAATTTGTTCCTGTGCGTGCCCCTTGCACAATGAATGTGGAAATGTGATTGTTATTGAGAAGGAAATTGTTTTGTTAATCCAAACACAGATACAGAATTTACACAACATTTCCTTGAAAATTCTGCGTATACCTTATAAAACTCTGCTTGTACATAGAGCTACCTTTGATGTAGGATAAGTGATAGGATGTGCTAAACTCTAAAAGAATGTTTTATTAATTAATTGTTAAGCATAAAAATTGCATGAAATGTAATAATGTTTAAATAAATTTTTGATAGGAATACTAAATTTGAAGGCACCCAATGTAAAAAATCATTTTATTTGAAACAAACCCGTGTTTTTCTCCCCCAAAATGGATTTTACCTATGGTCTATTTTTTAATAGTTTTTTTTTTTTTTTTCCCCCATGGTGAGGAGAGTGAGTTGCTAGTCTCTAGAGATTTCTCACATGCTTTTTATAAATTGCTATTTTCTTGATTTATAAAACAGTAACTCAATTCCATATACAAGGAAAAAAGCTGAATTTTAACCTTCGTAAATACAACAGAGGAGCTCCTTTCTGGTGGTGTAGTAGTTAAGACATTTGGCTGCTAACCAAAAAGTCGGTGGTTCAAACCCACTAGTCGGTCCATGGAAGAACGATGGTGCAGTCTGCCTCCATAAAGATTTACAGCCTTGGAAACCCAATGGAGGTCACTATGAGTCAGAATCAATTCTATCACAGTGAGTTTGTTTTCTTTAGAAATGTACCCAAAGAGATACATTACAATATATTTAATCTGTTCATTGCTATTTTATTTGCAGATTCAAGAATGGCTTTGTTTAAGTTGCCAAACCCAGAGAGCACTATCAGGACAGCTTGGAGACATGGACAAAACATCATCTTCACAGTCAGGACCAAAAGCATCTTCTATGCCAGCCCCTGCAGAACAACCACCTCAGAAAAAAGTGACTGCTGCCCAAGTAAAAGAGAAAAAGAAGGAACAAGAAGTAAAAAGCGAAGCTGAAAAACTCAAACCAGAAAAAGGAAAAGAAACACCATCAACTGAAAAAATTCCCCTGAAAGCAACCACTGATCAAAAACAGGAAGAGAGTAAGCTAGAGAAATACACATCTCTAGCTCCAGAAGAAAAGAAGCCACTCCCTGAAGAACAAAAGCCACTCCCTGAAGAAGAAAAGCCACTTTCTGAAGAAAAAAAGCTACTTCCTGAAGAAAAAAAGTCACTTCCTGAAGAAAAAAAGCCAGCTCTTGAAGAAAAAAAGCCAGCTTCCAAAGACAAAAAGCCAGCCCCTGAAGACAAAATTTTAATTGCAGAAGCAAAAATACCAGTTCTACAGGAGGACCAAAAACATGGCTTACTTAAAACTCAAGTGCTAATTGCTGAAGAAGAGCTACAAGACAGAGTGGCTCCAAAGGCAGGGCAGGAGGAGACACAGCTACAGACCAAGATGGAAGATACCCCATCTGGCAAGCCTCAGGGTTTCCAGAAGGAAGATGATGGAGCCACCCGGACAAGAAAAGAACCGACACAAGTAGCTCGCAGAGCAGAACCTGATCAGGGGGATACTGGGAAAGAAAAAAGGGTAAGTTATATTTTCCTGACTTTGCACCATCTCGCATATATAGTTTATGGATTTTTTTTTTTTTTTTGGCTGAAGTTCACAAATTGCTTAGTGGTAATTATGTAAATGAAGCTTTCAATCATTTTTAGAGAAGTGTGACAATTTTTTTATACAATGAAGAACTTTGGCCTCTTGAGAGCTTAGTAAATCAAATTTATGTAAAGCATAGCTGTAAAATGTGTATTTCCATCTGTTATGCCTATCCAGTAATTTATCAAAATCATATGGTGTGATAGATCAGTGTTCATTATAGTTTTAAGTTATTCCTTTTTTCTTCCCATTGTGAACATAAAATTAGTATCTCCCTTTAATGTAAAAGAGTTTGTCTTCATCTGTTGTCAGCTAGGAGTCATCTAGTCTCTTCTCACTTAGAGCCTTTTAAGGTATGGTCAGTGATAAAATGATTAAATAACTGTGATTGTGAAAAAACCAAAAAAGTGTGGGTAAAATTGAGAAGAAAAATTATTTTACTAACTGGTTTATTTACTGAATATTTAGCATGATTGTGATTTCAACAGAATGAGTTCTTTTATTCAATGTGTTTAATGTTTAAGAGTTACTTATAAGCATAATCTTGAATATATATACACACACACACACACACACACAATTCATATATACAGTCATATGTATTTATAATTACATACAGAAATATATTTACATATATATATATATATACACACACACATATGTACACACACTTTGCTTTTTCTTTAATAGAAAGTGAGTATCCCATCTTAACCAACATTTGTACAAACAATTCTGTCATTTTTAGAATAGTTGATTTTTTGGAGCTGGAAGACATCTTGTATCATATCTAGGTGACTCATTGTAATTCACAGGTGACATTAGTGACTGTCAGAGAAATTAAATGACTTTTTTAGTATTTGAACTCTAACTAAAATTTATAATCCAGTCTTCTGACTCGAGGGTTTTTTGTTTGATTGTTTACAATTTTAATATAAGTTTATTAACTCATCTTTAGGAGCCCTGGTGACTCAGTGGTTAAGCACTCAGCTGCTAACTAAAGGGTCAGCAGTTCGAACCCACCAGTCACTCCATGGGAGTAAGATGTGGCAGTCTACTTCTGTAAAGATAATACAGTCTTGGAAATCTTATGGGGCAGTTCTACTCTGTCCTATAGGGTTCTTAATAGGGTCCTTTTGGGTTAAACTATGAGTTAGAATAAACTTCAGGGCATTGAATTTGCTTTTTGGTTTTAACACATCTCTGGCAAAATGCATTAGCCATTTACAAAATAAATTCTGATCTTCCTTTTTTATCTGAATGCGTCTTACCACTGTCGAAGAAAGCAACTGGCTGAAGGCTGAATTTAGACAACACCATTGCCCCTCTCCCACTGCCATTGCTTCTTCCGGCTACCCATTTCCCAGAACTTGATAGTTTTTACCACTTTCTCCTTTGTGAAACTGCCCTTAGCGTCCATGGCCCTGCCTTCTCCTGCTTCTCTTTTGTCTTTCTGATCAGCCCTTCTGATTTTTACTTAGACTGTCTCCATGATTTTTCTTTTCTCAATCTCCAAATAGTGTTTTCCTTTGAGTTCTGTCTTCTTCCCTTTAGAGTGTCTTCCTTGAGGGACACATAAACCCACTTATACACCTCCTGTCCTCAAAATATAAAAAGTTATTGTTATGTGCCGTCGAGTCAGACCCGACTCATAGCGACCCCTCCTTGGGTTTCCGAGGCAGTATCACTACAGAAGTAGATTGCCCCATCTTCCTTCCGAGGTGTGGCTGGTAGGTTTGAACCGCCAGCCTTCTGGTTAGCAATCAAGTGCCTTAGGCACTATGCCACCAGAGCTCCCCAAAAATTATTAGTGTATAATATAACATATCAGTAACATCCTGAGGCATTATTTCCAAATCTGGCTTACCTAGACCAGATGCAGTAAATGTGTTTGCTCTCTCTCTAAAATTACCCAAGAATTTTTTTAAAAATAAATAATTCTAATCTAATTCTAATAATTCTAATCAGATAAGCCCCTCATCAGAGTTATTTTCTTATGTATATTATGTATATATACCTTTAAATAATTTACTATTGAGATCTCCATTGGCACTTTTTTTTTTCTCCTTAAGGACTCTCAGTAGGAAAATTTAAATTATTTCACTATTAAAACAGAAATAAACCAAAGTGAATACTATAAGCTGAGCATGTTAGAAATATCTATAGTTTGATTCTACTATTACCAAACCTTCTGCTACTTAAAATTTATTGTAATCTTCCTCCTCCCCAAACCTTCCAAAATTATTTCTTTGTTCCTTCCAACAATATCTTCTGACAAAGGAATGCCATTTAGTTTGCCACCGTATCATTTTCTACATTATTTTAGCCTTTTTTCTATGGCAGAAAGGAGTACTCTTTCCTAAAGATCTGTGACTTTCTTTTTTGTCTTTTACTATTAAATAAGAAAACACTGAGAACATTCTGAATGTTTATCATTCAGTTTAATAAAAATTTGTAAAACACTGTAAAACTCATTTACTCTAATTTATAGAAGTTTGTGATGATATCATATCATTCATTGTAACTTCAAAGCACATTTTGTGTTTAGAGCACTATTTGTTATTTGTGATAAGGGATGTAAATACAGATTACAAATACTTTTCTGGATACTGTCAGACATTTTGGCCAACTTCTTGTCAAATTGAATCAAACTGCTCATAGTTGTTTTTACCTTGTAATGTTGCTGATCAAAAAAGCTTTAGCCATATGATGGTGTCACTTTCTTTATTAATGTTTGTTGTGTATATGTATTGTTGCATATAATAATAATTACATTTCATACACATATGTATAGTTTTATTACACTGTTATGTTATTTTTTTCTTCCTATGCTTTTTTTTTAAATAATACAGTGTTTTTAGTGAACGTTTACGTGGTAAATTAGGTTCCCATTGAACAATGTGTCTACAAATTTTTCAGTGACAATTACATTTTTCATAGCGGGTCAACATTTTATTTGTTTAATTGCATTCAGGTTGTTCCATTACATTGGTATATTTTATAATATATGCAGATACAAAATGAAGAATGCAACTGAGACTATCAAAATTTTATTATGAAAGATCATTCTCTTGAACTCTTTTTTACAAGGTGCCGTACCCTACACTGTGTGGTGATGGTGTTTACTGTGATTTAGTGAAGGGTAGCTGGGGCTTGGGTAATGAAAAGCAGACAGTGAAGGACATAGAAAACCTAGTGGACTCAGTAAATGTGTTTTGACATTGCCTGGGTGTGTGAAGTGAGAGTAATGACGCTCCAATCTGATCGTCCATAATGGTTTAGTTTGAAGGCTGCTTTACCTGTTCTGATTTCTTCTATGGATCATTTTTAAGAGAAAGGTCATCAGCCATGCTACCATGCATAATCCCACAACTGCAGATAAATACTCCTGTCCCAGAAAGACATCCCACATGGGTGAGAGAGTTAATTCTTGGTAAACTAAAGAGTAGGCATTGCTTTCCACACCGAAGTGGGTAAGAATATATTAGATTATCTTTTGAAATTGAGTCATGTCAATTCAACAAAACCAGTTTACTCTATAAAACACTCCTGGAATATCTTTAACCATGTTGTTGTTGTTATGTGCCGTCGAGTCGGACCCGACTCATAGCGACCCATCCTTGGGTTGTCGAGGCAGTATCGCTACAGAAGTAGATTGCCCCATCTTCCTTCCGAGGAGTGGCTGGTGGGTTTGAACCGCCAGCCTTCTGGTTAGCAGTCAGGTGCCTTAGGCACTGTGCTGCCAGAGCTCCTATCTTCCATAGAGAGTAAAAAATGTTATATTAGTTTCTTAGAAATTCCACAGGTGGGTGGCTTTAAAGAAGAAAAGTTTGTTTTCTTACAGTAGGAAGCTAGAAGTCAGACTTCAGGGTATAGACGCTAGGGGAAGATTCTCTCCCTGTTGGCTGTTGGGGAAGAGCCTTGTCTCCATCAGCATCTGTACCCTGGTGTTCTTGGTTCATTGGCAGCCTCCCCCCACCATTTGTGTTTGTGTTTGTTTGTGTGTCTGTGCTATTCCTTATAACATAGATGTGATTAGGTTTCAGACATGCCCTATGCTGATAAATGGCTTCATTAACATAACAAATAAAATTTTATTCCCACTGGGATTACATCCACAGGTATAGGGGTTAGGATTCCAACACATTTTAGGGGAAACATCATTCAATCCATAACAGATATACAGAGAAAAGAATATCAAGTCAACAGTATTTATATTCAAGAACTCTGTGGCTAAAAAAAAGAAAGAAAAAAAGTTTTTGTTTTTGCTTATTTGTTGTGCAGCCTGTCATTGATTCATTTGGGCAATAGGAAATCAAAGGATCCTATATCCACACACCTACTGAAATACTGAGATAGTTCAAGATACAAACTTTGTGAAATTTAAGTGACTTTTTAAGCCAGGGTCATTTGCAGTGTGTTTAGTGCACCTCTTCCTCTGGTTCCATCATTCCATAGGACCATATGACTATTAAGGAGCTCTGGTGTCTTAGTGCCTAAGGCATTTGACTGCTAACTGGAAAGTTGGTGGTTCAAACCCACCATCATCCACTCTGTAGAAGGAAGATGGGGCAATCTACTTCCATAGAGATTTACTGCCTTGGAAACCCAATGGGGTTGCTATGAGTTGGAATCAACTTAGTGGTGGTTGGTTTTCTTGATTTATATGACTATTGTGATACTTTTCTTTCAATATGGAATCTTACTATATCAATTATTTGTTTGTTTGTTTGTTTGTTTGTTCTACCCACAGGCCTTTTTAATTTAGATTTATGCAAGCAGTATCTATATTTACCATTTTCATTTAATGTCTCTCTGATTCTTGAACCAAAATTGTCAACATGGCCTCATCACAGTCTAAAGAAATCTGGAAGGTCAAGGCATTGGTGTGCCTACTGAGCAACTCTGCTGCCTTCCAACCTAGCACCCTGGAAAACCCATGCTTCCACTCACAAAAAGTTAGTTATTGTACTTGAAGAGAGCTGGCTTTTAAGTAGGGTGAAGATAAATAATTTACCAAGCATTTTCAAATACAGAAGCCATTTGTAACTAATGTTAGTGAAACATCTTTGAAGTGGGATGCTGAAAATAAGTCGATGAACAGCTCCACAAAAACAATAACTGTATTATTAGCTGAAGTGATGAGTCAGACCAGTTATTGCATAACTTTGTTAAAGTTTGAAATTTCTAAACATTTATTCCAATCAATATAGGATAATAGTATTAACAATACCAAGCATATATAGTATTTAGAACTTTCAAAGGGCCTTTGTATAGTGGCAGTGTCTTGTTTAAATTATTTAAAAATCCTGTGAGTAGCAGGGCATTTGTCATTATAGCCACATTACCTAATCTTTTTTTTAAGTAAATTTTCCAACATCCCATAAACTTTTAGCCAGATAAAAAATCCATCGTCTAATTTTCCCCTCCCTACCCCCACATGTTTTATCGAACTGTATAATCCAAAAATATTACTCATGGTAATGGCAGGATTTTCTTTGGAATTTTTTCTTCACAATTTGAACTCTATCCCAGAGTAAGTCTGCTTACAAAGATAATCATGATATTTCAATATAAAAGGCTAGTATATAAATGGAATAAAATCAGATGTCATTGAGAATTTAGCATTTAAATTAAACTTAGGTTAAATGAAAACTAACATTGATATAAACTATTTTTCATTTTTGTGCATATTCAATGGTTTTTTTTTTAATATTGTTGTATAGTTGACAAAATTCCCTTAATTATTTCTCATTTCTTGATAGTTATTAGTTTAACTATGTTAAGTTTTCCTCTATCTTTTCCTCTCTGCTAGGAAAAGGAAGATGACAAATCAGACACCTCAAGTTCTCAGCAGCCGAAAAGCCCTCAAGGTCTGAGTGACACAGGATATTCTTCTGATGGAATATCAAGTTCACTTGGTGAAATTCCAAGTCTTATTCCAAGTGATGAGAAGGACTTGCTCAAAGGCCTCAAAAAGGACTCTTTTTCTCAAGAAAGCAGTCCTTCCAGTCCCTCTGATCTGGCTAAGTTAGAAAGTACTGTCCTATCTATTTTGGAAGCTCAATCTAGTACACTTGTGGAAGAAAAAGCAGACAAGAAAACAGAACCCCATGGAGCTTCTCCAGAACAACCTAAGGACCAAGAGAAAACTCAGAGTTTTTCTGAAACACTGGAAATCACTTTTTCAGAAGAGACACTCAAGGAAAGTCAAGAAGAAAGGAAAGACACTTTGAAAAAAGATAGCCTAGAAGGCATTCCTTCTAGAAAGGACTATAAAGAAAAGTTGGAGTTTGTTGATGACTTAGCTACCAGAAGACAGTCTTATGATTCAGTTGAAGACAGCAGTGAAAGTGAAAACTCACCTGTTCCCCAAAGAAAACGGAGAACTAGTGTTGGTTCTTCAAGCAGTGATGAGTATAAACAGGAAGATAGTCAGGGCTCAGGTGAAGAGGAGGACTTCATTCGAAAGCAAATCATAGAAATGAGTGCTGATGAAGATGCTTCAGGTTCTGAGGATGATGAGTTTATTAGGAACCAACTCAAAGAGATTAGTAGTAGTATAGAAAGCCAGAAGAAGGAAGAAACTAAAGGGAAAGGAAAGGTAATGGCAGGGAAACACAGGCGGCTGACACGAAAAAGTAGTGCAAGCTTTGATGATGATACAGGGAGACGCCATTCATGGCATGATGAAGACGATGAGACATTTGATGACAGTCCTGAACTTAAGTACAGAGAAACCAAAAGTCAGGAGAGTGAGGAACTTGCAGTTGCTGGAGGTGGAGGGTTACGTCGATTTAAAACGATTGAACTCAACAGCACAATAGCAGATAAGTATTCTGCAGAGTCATCACAGAAAAAAACGACTTTGTATTTTGATGAAGAGCCAGAATTAGAAATGGAAAGCTTGACAGACTCACCAGAAGATAGGTCAAGGGGGGAAGGATCTTCTAGTCTTCATGCTTCCAGCTTCACTCCTGGTACTTCCCCTACATCAGTGTCATCACTTGATGAGGATAGTGACAGTAGTCCAAGTCACAAAAAAGGAGAGAGCAAACAGCAGCGAAAAGCTCGGCACAGATCACATGGCCCTCTTCTGCCTACTATTGAAGATTCTTCAGAGGAAGAAGAATTGAGAGAGGAAGAAGAATTATTAAAGGAGCAAGAAAAGCAGCGGGAGTTAGAACAGCAACAAAGAAAGAGTTCTAGTAAAAAATCAAAGAAAGACAAAGATGAACTTCGAGCTCAGAGAAGGAGAGAAAGACCAAAGACACCACCTAGTAACCTCTCTCCCATTGAAGATGCTTCTCCAACAGAAGAATTGCGTCAGGCTGCAGAAATGGAGGAGCTCCACCGATCTTCTTGTTCTGAATATTCACCTAGTATTGAATCAGACCCAGAGGGTTTTGAAATAAGCCCAGAAAAAATAATAGAAGTACAAAAAGTTTACAAATTGCCCACAGCTGTATCTTTATACTCCCCAACAGATGAACAATCTATTATACAGAAAGAGGGTGACCAAAAGGCATTAAAAAGTGCTGAGGAGATGTATGAAGAAATGATACATAAATCCCAGAAATATAAAGCTTTTCCAGTTGCAAATGAACGAGATGAAGTGTTTGAAAAAGAACCTTTGTATGGTGGGATGTTAATAGAGGATTATATTTATGAATCTTTAGTAGAGGACTCATACAATGGATCAATAGATGGCAGTTTATTAACAAGGCAAGAAGAGGAAAATGGATTCATGCAGCAGAAAGGGAGAGAGCAAAAAACAAGACTTCCAGAACAGATTTATGAAGACCCTATGCAGAAAATTACAGACCTCCAGAAAGAGTTTTACGAGTTAGAGAGCTTACATTCTGTTGTGCCTCAAGAAGATATTGTTTCAAGCTCTTTTATCATCCCAGAGAGCCACGAGATAGTGGATCTTGGCAGTATGGTAACTTCTAACAGTGAAGAAAAAAAATTATTAGATGCTGATGCTGCCTATGAAGAACTCATGAAGAGGCAACAGATGCAGCTAACACCTGGATCCAGTCCAACCAAGCCCCCCATTGGGGATGATGTGACAGAGGCCACCATGGACTTTGATAGAATGCCTGATGCATCTTTGACATCGAGTATTCTCTCAGGTGCATCTCTTACAGATTCAACCAGCAGCACGACACTCTCTATTCCAGATGTTAAAATAACCCAACATTTTTCCACAGAAGAAATTGAGGATGAATATATAACTGATTATACAAGAGAAATTCAAGAAATAATTGCCAATGAAGCACTGATTTTGACTTATTCTGAGCCCTCAGAAAGTGCTACATCTGTCCCACCATCTGACACCCCTTCTCTTACATCATCTGTTTCTTCAGTTTGTACCACAGATAGCTCCTCGCCTGTTACTACCCTGGATAGTATAACCACCATTTATACAGAGCCAGTAGTAGTAACTAAATCTGAAGATTCTGAGGAAATTTCCTCATCAACTTATTTTCCAGGCAGCATTATTGACTATCCAGAAGAAATAAGTATGTCATTAGTCAGGGCTGCCACACCAGATGATAGGACTGGTGCTGATCATATTACAATTTCCTTATCTGATATGACACCTTCTATCATAGAATCTGTAGGAACTGAATTAGAGGGACCTGTTGCTGACACTATTTCCACCGACTTACCTCTATCTGAAAAAGATCCAACAAAGAAAGCTAAGAAGGAAGATAGAAATGGAGTTATTCTGGAAGTTTTAGAAGCTTACAGAGATCAAAAGAAGGAATCTGAAGCTGAATTCATAAAAGTGACCATATCTGAACCTGGATTTGATCAACGACCTTCTTCAGCAAAAGCTGTTCCAATAACGGAGCAGATTTCAACAACGTGCTTTGTATCTGGAGAGGTCTTTGACCAGGCAAAACCTGTGTCTCAGTTACCATCTGGCGGTCCTTCTGTTTTCTCTCTTCCAACTAAAACTCGCCCATTCTTCCGAAGTTTTTCTTTGGACACATCAGCCCAACCACCTCCTCCACCTCCTCCTCCTCCCCCACCATTGCCTCCACCAACTTCACCTAAACCAACAATGTATCCTAAAAGAAAGGTAGCAATTACAGCTTCAGTGACTGTAGCTACTAGTGCTATACCTCAGGTTGATGCTGTTGCTACTGAAGAGACCCCAGCTGTTTTGAAGAATACTGGGTTACCAGTAACAAAGATATGTACCCCTGCACCTCCTCCTGTTCCTCCTAAGCCATCTTCAATTCCATCTGGACTTGTATTTACACATAGGCCTGAGCCAAGCAAACCTCCAATTGCCCCTAAGCCAGCAGTTCCTCCACTTCCAATAACTACACAAAAACCAGCAGATACACCTCCCAAGCCAACTGGTTTATCTTTAGCTTCAAGTATGACATTGAATTTAGTGACTTCAGCAGATTATAAATTGCCATCCCCTACTTCCCCACTTTCCCCCCACTCTAACAAGTCCTCACCAAGATTTTCCAAATCCCTCATGGAAACTTATGTGGTTATCACATTGCCTTCTGAACCTGGGACTCCAACAGATTCTTCAATTGGTCCAACAGTTACCAGCTGGCCCCTTGGATCACCCCCCAAAGATCTAGTTTCCCTTGAACCGGTGTTTTCTCTAATCCCTCCTGTGACAGCTGCAGCAATTCCAAGTCCTTCAGAGCAGAGCCTATATGTCTCAGGAACTTTGGAGACATTTCCTGCTGTCCCTGTCACAACTGTGTCTTCATTTCAGCCACCTCCAACTTCAGTTGCACAGTTTCTCACAACTGCAGTATCCAAGGTTGAGGTTTCAGCAGCTAAAAGTACGGTACCTAGTATTGGCCCCAGCAGCATCTCCATAACAATTCCTCCAGAACCTCTTGCTCTGGATACCCTACATTTAGAGAAGCATCAGTACAAGGAAAATGGAAAGTTACAACTTTTTGGTGATGTCATTGATCTGCGTACAGTGCCAAAAGAAGAAGTTCAAGTAACTGAAAAATGTATAGATCTTTCTGCTTCTACAATGGATATGAAAAGGCAGACCATATCAAGTGAAGTTTATGGGAGACAAATTAGTACTGTACAACCATCCATTATAAATCTTAGTGCAGCCTCATCAATAGTGACTCCAATATCCCTTGTCACTGAAACAGTGACAGTTGTCACATGCACAGCTAGTGCAAATTACACCACAGGTACAGAAAGCTTTATGAGTATAGAACCAACAGCGGCACCACCACTCCAGCTAACTACATCGAAGTATGCTGAGCCCCCATACAGGATGCCAAGTGGGCAAGCCTTGCCTACGCTTAGGGAGGAAGCACCAATAAACTTATCCCTAAGTACTTCAGCACAAGCAGTCACACTGGCTGTTACAAAACCAGTCACTGTACCTCCTGTTGGGGTTACAAATGGTTGGTCTGATAGCATCACATCCCAGGGGACCACTGATGGAGAAGCAGTGGATCTCAGTACCACGAAGTCTTACAGAACTGTTGTAACAGTGGATGAATCGACTTCAAGTCCAGTGACCAAAATAATAGAAGATGATGAAAGACCTGTTGATCTGACTGCAGGAAGAAGGGCTGTGTGCTGTGATGTGGTTTATAAGTTACCTTTTGGAAGGAGTTGCACAGCACAGCAACCTAAAACTACTCTTCCTGAGGATCGTTTTGGTTATAGGGATGACCACTATCAATATGATCGGTCAGGGTCATATGGTTATAGAGGTATTGGGGGAATGAAACCTTCCATGTCTGATACTAATTTAGCAGAAGCTGGACACTTTTTCTATAAAAGTAAGAATGCTTTTGATTATTCTGGAGGAGCTGATGCAGCAGTAGATCTAACTTCAGGGAGAATTACTACAGGTCAGTATGATGTAGCAGCAGACCTATCCTTGAAATATCATCATGGTGTTCCCCATCTCATTTCAGGATGAAAATATGGTCCCTTTTCCAATTGTGTTATTTTTTCTCTTTCTTTGGATGTTTTGGCAACATAGTTTGGAATACATGTGCGCTTTTTTTTTTTTTTTTTCATTTTTTATTTGTTCTGCCCAAGTCGCCTGCATGTGCCTGCATGTTCAACGTTGCTTTTATTCCACATCTAATTAGGTTAACCTGTGGATTTGCATGCAGACCCATTCATTATGTTCATCAAGATGAGAGGCATTCTAATCCAAAAAGCATCATTCATTCTTGGAACTGGACTATAACTCTGCCCTGTATTTCAGGTGAGGTAATGGATTATTCAATCAAGACTACAGGTCCATATCCAGAAACACGACAAGTCATTTCAGGCACTGGGCTTAGCACCCCACAGTATTCCACAGCAAGAATGACTCCACCACCCGGATCCCAGTATGGGGTGGGAAGTGTTTTGAAGTCATCTAATGGTGTTGTCTGTTCTTCAGTAGCAACTCCAGTGCCTTCTACATTTGCAATCACCACACAACCTGGCTCCATTTTTAGCACCACTGCAAGGGATTTATCCGGTTTGCACACAGCTGATGCAGTGACTTCATTATCTGTCCTACAACAGAGCCAGCCAATGCCTAGATCATATTTCTTAACAACAGGTGCATCTGAAATGGACATTGCAGTAACTGGTGTTGATATCAGTGCCAGTTTGCAAACCATTACTATGGAAACTTTTACAGCTGAGACAATAGACGCTGTTCCCACTTTAACCACAGCATCTGAAGTTTTTTCTGAAGTGGTGGAAGATGAAAGTTCTCTTTTAATTGTCCCTGAGGAAGATAAACAACAACAGTTAGACTTGGAGCGTGAACTCTTGGAACTGGAGAAAATCAAGCAACAGCGCTTTGCTGAGGAATTGGAGTGGGAACGCCAGGAAATTCAGAGGTTTCGAGAACAAGAAAAGATCATGGTTCAAAAAAAGCTGGAGGAGCTACAGTCAATGAAGCAGCACCTTCTTTATCAGCAAGAAGAAGAACGGCAAGCCCAGTTTATGATGAGGCAGGAGACATTGGCCCAGCAACAGTTACAGCTAGAGCAGATCCAACAGCTACAACAACAGCTTCACCAGCAGCTAGAGGAACAAAAGATTCGCCAGATCTACCAGTATAACTATGACCCTTCTGGAACTGTCTCTCCACAGACCACTGCAGAGCAGACAATTTTGGAAGGTCAGTATGCTGCCCCAGAAAGTGGTCAGTTTTGGGGGACTGAAGAAGCAACCACCACAGCTTCAGCTGTTGTGGCAATCGAAATACCACAAAGCCAAGGATGGTATACAGTTCAATCTGATGGCGTTACTCAGTACATTGCCCCACCTGGCATCTTGAGTACTGTTTCAGAAATACCTCTAACTGACGTTGTTGTAAAAGATGAAAAACCACCCAAAAAGCGAAGTTCTGCAGCTAAAGTCCGTGGGCAGTATGATGAAATTGGAGAAAATATGGGAGACGATCCCCGAAGTTTTAAAAAGATAGTGGACAGTGGTGTCCAAACTGATGATGAAGATGCAGCAGATAGGAGTTATGTGAGTAGGAGAAGGAAGACTAAAAAAAGTGTTGATACAAGTGTCCAAACTGATGATGAAGACCAGGATGAATGGGATATGCCTAGTAGGTCACGGAGAAAATCTCGTGTAGGGAAGTATGGCGATACCGCTCCAGAGGCAGAGAAGACCAAACCCCTTTCCAAAGTCTCCAGCATAGCAGTTCAAACAGTGGCAGAGATATCTGTGCAAACTGAGCCAGTTGGAACCATAAGAACACCTTCAATACGGGCACGAGTAGATGCCAAAGTTGAAATAATAAAACATATTTCAGCACCTGAAAAGACTTACAAAGGGGGTAGTTTAGGATGTCAAACAGAGGCAGATTCAGACACACAAAGTCCTCAGTATCTGAGTGCTACATCTCCACCCAAAGACAAAAAACGCCCAACACCTTTAGAGATTGGTTATTCATCTCACCTTCGGGCAGATTCCACTGTACAGCTGGCTCCTTCCCCACCCAAATCTCCAAAAGTCCTTTATTCACCCATCTCACCACTTTCACCAGGCAAAGCCTTAGAATCAGCCTTTGTACCTTATGAAAAAACCCTTTCTGATGATATAAGTCCACAGAAAGTGCTGCATCCAGATATGGCTAAAGTTCCACCAGCAAGTCCTAAGACAGCCAAGATGATGCAGCGTTCTATGTCTGACCCCAAGCCTCTGAGTCCAACAGCAGACGAGAGTTCCAGGGCTCCTTTTCAATATACCGAGGGCTACACGGTAAGAATGATTCTCTTTTCAGTTAAAAGGCAATGATGGGTCGATATTAATCTTTTTGCAGATTTTAGGGGAGAAATAAAGCTCCTGGTACATTCAAAACCTTGTACTAAATTTCAGTGATGACTGTTGCAAAATTTGGGTAAAAATTACATACAATACATTCATTTAAAATTATCCAAAAAAGAAAACATTATGTGATACAAGACGAAGAAGAAATTTATTATTTGATATTAATAAGATTGTAAGTTTTGTTTTAATATTGAAATCTCCCTAGTGTGTATTGAGGACTGTGATTTCAGTGAATTTAATTCATATTCATGGTCAAGTATGATGGAATGAACATTGAACATAAACAGGTAAGGCAAAAGATGACTGTAAATTTAGACCCATGGTTACTAGAATGCCAAAGCTGGTAGGGTCCTTGGAGATCATCTTGTCAGTCACTATTATGTTTCCATAAAAATGCTTAGTATAAACTTTGTCAATAGGGAACATTTCTAGGGCTGGCAGATGAACATGATATGCGAGCATCATAGTTTATCCATGTTTATTTTGCTTCTGGCGGTTTTACTGTTCTAACCCAGGTAAGCCTTCATCTTTTTTCTTAAATATTCTTACTTTTCTTTTCTAAATTTTTTATTCATTGCCTGAATGAGGAAAATTTAGTATTGAAAGAGGGAAAATAGGAATATAATTAAGATGCCTTAATAAAAGGATAAACTAAAACCAAACCTGATGCCTTTGAGTTGGTTCCAACTCATGGTGATTCCATGTGTTAAGAGTAGAACTGGGCTCCAAACAGTTTTCTTGGCTATAAACTTTATTGAAGTGAATTGAGTTTGAGCCACCAACCTGTCGATTAGTGGCCAAGAACAAACAAACCAGTTTTAGTCACCCAAGGACCTAATAAAAGAATAATTGATGCTAAACAATAATTGTAGATTGATAATGTGATTTTTGATAGTCTAAATTGGGTTAGAATTTCATAAGCTAAAAACTTTTTTTACATTTACCTTGATAATAGAGATTATTTTAAAGTATGTATGTATGCTACAAAAGGTAAAGAACATATGTTGATATGTTAGATACCTTGTGAAGAACTCTATAACTGAGAATAAGAAATGTTAATAATTAGTTATAAAAGCAAGTATATGCTACTTTAGAAAATCTAATATAAGTCTTTCAAAGTTGATTCAATAATGTGATAGTTCAATTTAAAACAGGATTTATGTTGTAATTAATAGCTTCCCTCAAGCATTGGTTTCTGAATTCTAGGTCTCAGAACCTGAAACTTCTACATAAGCTTTGCTAAGGTATTGCTAGATTTCTGTTGACCTGTATATTGCCTGTAGGCTGAAAAATATGCCATTGCATATTACTGTGTATATTTATGAAATGAGCTCTGGTGGTGTAGTGGGGAAGGCATTTGACTGCTAACCGTAAGGTTAGCAGTTCAAACCCACCAGCTGTTCCGCAAGAAGAAGATGAGGCAATCTAAGATTTACAGCCTTGGAAACCCAATGGGGGTTGCTGTGAGTCAGAATTGACTCAATGGCAGTGGATTTGGGTGTCTATTTATAGATGTATAGACATTTCAATAGTAATTTAATAAATTACATATTCATTCTACTTTTTAAAAATTTCATTGTAACATTTTTCATTCTGTTCTCTCTCAACCAATGAAACTTAAAAGTAAACCTGTCTTTGGGGGGGTTGGGGAGGGACAGAAGACACAGCCCTATATTTAATATTAAAAAATGACTCTTAAACACTGAGAAGATCTGGGAACCCCAGCCCTGATGCATTTAGATATAATCCAACTTACCAGAGGTTTGTTGTATATAAAGCTTTGTTTGTAGAATATATTGTGATTTGTGGTTTTTAACTCAGGTGTAATATATTGATATTTATTTACACAGCTGTGGCCTATAGCTTAACTTAAGGATTTAATGAAAAAGTTTGAAAATATGGTTTTTCACAGTATTTTTAAGGTAATATTTAAGATTTTGTCCTTAGAAAAAATTGACATTCCACTTGGTGTACTCATCATTTACTGAGTATAAAGCCCTGGACCCTTTTTTGTCTTAACTTTGTTTATTTTTTTATTTTACTCTTTTTTGCTGTTGAGAATGTACACAGCAGAATATACACCAGTTCCACAATTTCTATGTGTAGGATTCATTGATGTTGATCACGTTCTTTAAATTGTGCAACACTCTTACCCTCTTTTTCAGTCCTGCTCCTAAACCATTAACAGAAACTCATGCCCTCTAAGTTTCCTAGCTAATCTTTCCATTTGCTGTTGTCATTTGATCCCATGTAGATAGTTCTTAAAAGAACACAATGCTCAAGGCAGGCATTTTTTACTAGTTAAGGTATACTATTGTTTGGTTTTAAGAAGACATCAGGGGATACTTCTGGTTTAAGGTTTAAAGATTATCTCAGGATAGTAGTTTCAGGCCCTGTGCTCTTAACTCAGTGACTCAGTTGAAGAAGAGGTTCAAGTTGTCAATTTTTTCATCACTTTGTATTTGTAAATATGTAATAAAATTACAGTTGGTTGTATGGGTTCTATTACTGATTTTATCAGTAATACAGGTAGTCCCTGACTTACAATGAGGTTCCCTTCCAACAACTCCATTGTAGTTCAGTTCTTAGATAAGTCAAATGCAACTTGATTCTGTCTTTTAAATGTCTTGAAACTGGGCATCAAGTCTGCCTTTTTTTAAGTGAGTGTGTGTTCTGGCAACCTTTCCTAAGACAAGCTTTTTTGTCCATGTTGACAATTTTATCAACAGTAATATGTACTATTTGTACATATTATAGATACGTACTATATATACAGTATGGCAGCATGCAATTTGCTGATGTCTTAAAAAAAAGGCATAAGTGCAGTTCATTGTAGCTTGAATACATCATAAGTTGGGGACTACTTGTTTTGGATTGACAAGGTAATCATATGTAATCATGAAAGAAGTTGAACAGAGCTGCATCTGAAAAATCCTAGCTGTACTGGGCTGTGGGATATAATTCAGTACCTCCTGCATTCAATTGGTCAAACACAATGATTAATTTAATGTGGAATATTTGTACATAAACTCGAAAGTATTGTTTTATTTGATGTACAGGGTAGACTGTATTATATGTAGTCAGTGTTTTTAATACATTAGATGCTTTAAGTCTAAGATGTGACTTTTGTAATTATTTCTATGCAAACTTATACACTTTTTAGTCTGTTTTAAACTAAATGAAAATAATTTCTTGATTGTATAACTCTGATTGATAATGTATTAACTTTACTAAAAAAACAAACAAAAAAAAAAGCTCTGGTGGCGTAGTGTCTAAAGCATTTGACTGCTAACCAGAAGGCTGGTGGTTCAAACCCACCAGCTACTCCATGGAAGGAAGACTGGGCAATCTACTTCCATAAAGATTTACTACCTTGGAAACTGAAAGGGGGTCTCTATGAATCAGAATCAACTTGATGGCAGTGAGTTTGTTTTTTTTTAGTTTAATAAAAAGAATATTCTTCTAAGTGATCCATAGTGATATGTCTGATTTAAGAAATCTAGCTCAGCAGTTAAAGAACCCCAATTTTCACAGATCAGTAAAGTTAAAAAAAAAAAAAAAAAAACCACCATTTCATAGGCATTGAGGCAAGACAGTAACACATATAATACAGCGTGAAAGGTAGGTTTTATGCCTAGTGAGATTCTGTAATAGCATCTACTCTTCCTGGAAGTATCAGGAAAGTTTCAAAGAGAAGGTACTGAGACTTGAAGGTTGAGATCTCTATTGGACCATGAAGAAGGAAATGGAGGTGGTTGTAAGTAGAAGACATAAAAAAAAATAGCAAAGAAGTGAGAAGGATGTTTGTCATGGATGAAATTTTAGCCAAATAAGGCTCTACTTTGCCATAACAGACTTTGAATTTACTTTGCTGGACTGTAGTGAGCCTAGTCCAAGTCGTCATCATCTTACATACACCTGCATTTTTATGCAAATAAAGGAGCGCCCCCACGCCCGGTAGCACAGTGGTTGCTAACCACAAAGTTGGTAATTCAAACCTACCAGCCATTCCATGGGAGAAAGATGTGAAAATCTTCTGTAAAGTTTTACAGACTTGGAAACTGCCCTATAAGACAGTTCCATCCTATAGGGTCAGTTAGAGCTGGAATCTACTTGATGACAGACAGTGACTTATGTAAATAAAATGCACCTTTGTTTTCCAGTGGCTCCCTCCACCTGGGAGGTATTTTCCTAAGTGCCACTATACCATTTTTTTCACATGTTGCTGTAAAAAAAAAAAAAAAAAAAGTGTAGCATGTTTACCAAAATATCTCCAGCAGGGAGGGAGCAGTTGGCAAACAGACATAAAAGACATGCATTATTTGCATAAAAATATGGTAACTATTCATGAGCCTCTGCACTCTTTCTAGTCTTGTCTTCTCTTCAATCAGTTCTCCAAGTAGCACCCAGGATGATTATTAAAATGTAAGTCAGATTGTCACTCACTTCAGTAGATTCTCATAATACTCAGAATGCATTAGAATTTATTTATTTATTTATTTTTGCTTAGGCCACTTACCTGATCTCAACCTGTCTTGCTATCTTATTGATCACTCCCCATACCTGCCCAGCTTCTCACTGTTCTACAAGTACTGATCTTTAGATGTGCCAACCTCAATCCTAGCCAGCATTTGTCTGAAATTCTCTTCCCAATTCTTTGCCTTTAACCAGCTTTCTGCTCAAATTTCACCTCCACAGAAATTCCTTTAAAAAAAAAAAAAAGTCTTCTACTACCATGCATCCCTCCCCAACACCCTCTAAATTCATATACAGTATATTGCTTATCAATATATTATATCTTTAAACGAATATAATCTTTCTTCTCCAGTGGAATGTAAAGTCTATGAGTGCCAGGAATTTGCTTTGTTTGCTACTATAGTCCCAAGTGCCTAGACCAGTGCATGGCACCAAGTAGGCCCACAGTATTTATC